GAGAGAGAGAGAGAGAGAGAGAGAGAGAGAGAGAGAGAGCACTGAATAACTGCAACTCATAACTACTTTTTGTCACATTTATTATGCAATCGTTTATTCATGTATTCATTTTTCTGTGAATATATATTTTAAATGAAAATATTTTTAAATATATTTCTTCGTTAACTATATTTTATAGCATTAAAAGAGGTTTACATAAAGTATGAGGAGATAAAAAGAGGAGGAAATTCAATGCTCTTTCTTGTGATTCATTTAATGAATTACTTATCACTCGATTCCTAAACATTTGATTTCATGCGATAACGCGTTATTTGGAAATATTATTGCATTCTTGCCTTTAATTAAGCGATAAATAAATTATTTTTATTATTTCACTAATTCTTTATATCTCATTAATAATCAATTTTTGAATTCATCGTTAATATAATATTACACACGAAACCAAACACCAAATTATTAGCCAAAATCTATATTTGACTTATTTTTAGGACAAACACTAATCTCTTTTTTCTACTTATTCTCTATCAATACAATACTATTAGGTTTAAGCGTTTAAAACAATTTTTGAGTATTATTTTTGAGACTTTTAAATGGATGAAAATGCGGTTTAAACACAATATACATGTGAACGTAACTATAGTAGAGAGCAATACTAAATGTAAAACATTGTTTCCCCGATTAAATCGGTTTGTGTTTTGCTTTGTTTATTATATATTTCACAAAATGTTAAGCAATCCATGAATAAGCATAGACTCTGACCTACGATTAAATATCATGTTTATATCGACTTTTTTCTTCAATATTTGAATGCAAACTGAAGTTTAATTGATTAAGAATTTTGTTTTTGCAAATATTTATGCATTTATGGCAAACACTATCAGAAACGGAATAATTTCACTCAACATGTAATACAAAAATTACATTAATATTATTTTAATTTCATTACAACCCGACTGTCAGTCATGTATTGGATTTTAGGGCAAATTCATATAACATTAACATTACTTAAAGTATTAAAGACAACAATAATAGTAAATCCAATTATATATACAGTAATACTCACAGAAATTTAGTTAAACATTACAACAATAAAAAATGGTTTAAATATTTAACAACAATAATATTGATTGAATTATGAGAAGACATACCTGTGCTCTAGAATTGGTCTATAAATACATGTCCGCAAAGACATACACTTATTATTATTAACTTTAATATCATTACAATTACTATAATTCCATGTCTTGAAAAATAATCGGTGAATAACTCGTGTATTTATTCTACACAAACAGTCAAATAGCAACGATATGTTTTTTCTCGTATGCGTTATCGCTGTGTTTCAAGTATTAAACTGAATGTTAATATAAATAATTGACTCAATTCTCGACTCTCTCGACAAAAAAGCTGTGAAACAAGAGATGTGAACGAGAAATGTATCGGAATTTTCTCCTCTCGTTCTGCGAGAGAACAGTAATCCGATTAATATTGATATAAGTATTTGTGACTCACTATCGGTTGTGTTCAACAGAATATTATTATTATTACTAAATATAATCCGATAGCGTATTAGCCGTAACTTATATTACATACGATTGAAAAATATTCCTTGTTTTTTGGTCCAGGGATTAGAATCCGTCGCGAATTAAATAGTAATTAAAAGTATTTCAATAAAATCGATTAAATCAAGTCATCTTTTATTAATATTTTTTATTGATTGAAACTAATAGAAAATGCAATAATTATATCATATATTAATAATAATAGTAATAGAAGTTGTGTTCAATTGGTTTTAAAAACATTAGGGCGAGAATAAAAGAAATTAATTACAATTTGTTTGAAAAAATACATATTAATTATATAAAAAGCATTTTTAAATTTTTAAAACCATTAAATGTCTAAAAACTTGTTAAAGAGATTTAAGATTTATATTCCAATAATAAAACTATTGATAAAAATTTTCCGATGCGTTAAAACATCAATGAATATGTTTTCTATTATAGATCCGCTTTTCGTTCTTCACTTTTCCAAAATGTGTGTGATTTTGAATATCCTTTCTCTTCGACCAAAAATCAGTCATTAATTTTCATTTACACAAAGCATTAGTGAAAATAAGGCCACAGTTTTCACATCCGAGCATAAGATTAAATACATTTATAAAGAAATTTCAGCAAAAACTTGTGTTTTAAGATAAATTGCTCACAATTACGAGTCGTATAATAAATAATTGTTTCAATATTTATAACATAAAATACCATTAAATCCCTAAAAATAGGAGCAATAATACACGAAACATTGCAATACAATTGTTATGTTTTTTATCATAGAAATAAAAGGCACTCAAATTGAATTACAGAAGCGTTTGAGACAACTATTATATCGGTTTTTACTTTTCGAAAAATATTTGCAATTAATTCTCCGAAAAACAGTTTTAGTTTCTCTGTTTGGTTCACAAATACAAACAATTACTGGCCTCTCATCCCATCCCTAAACCTCTCTCTTTCACGTCTCGCTCTTTCACTGCTGACTAGAAATCATAAACATATTTATAATTAAAAATTGAAATTCAAAATCATTTTTCACTAAATTTGTATGAAGTAATGGAAAACTCAAAATAATTTCATAATTTAAGTTCAAAATTCGTATATCAACTCATTTGAGACTTTCATTCAATTATTGATTTAAAAACATAATAAAACAAAATCTCAAATAAAAAAGACACTCTGTTTTGGTGTCAACTGTATTACAATCGCTCAGTGAGTGCTCAATGAACTAATTGTTTGATCGCTTCTATCATAAAAAGTAATAAACCAATTAAAATACAAATCCATTGAGTTTTAGTGAAAATATTACTTTAAATGAATAGAGAGATCAAAACGATAGTGAAATTCATTGAAAATAAGATACAAATAAAACAAAACAATTAATTAATTTCCGTTGACATCAGGAGACGACTCTAAAATCAATGATTCGCTGTTCGTCATAATGAAAGCGTTGTCATGAATGTTAGGACTCGTGTAGTTGTCTTCAGAATCGGGTGTCAATTGAGACATAAGGGCCGCGTCTTCTAACTCCTGTTTCAACGAATTCGGATTCACTTTAAATGAATTGTTGTTTTTGGACGAAATGGATGTTGTGTTGGGCACCGAAGGGGACGAAGCAACGGATGTCTGCCCTCCAGAGATACCATTAGTTTTAGGAACGGGCGAAGACTTATTCTCGCCCTTTACGGCAATCGGTTTGACTCCAACGGGAGATCTCGGTATCGGTTTCTTATCGACACTTGTTTTGGACGAAAGGCTCGTGGGTTTAGTCGCCGGAGCCGTTCGGCTAGTAGTGAGTCTACTTGCGCTGGTCGTGGGCTTACTCGCGACGGGAGCTTTAGTTGGCGAGGCTTTTACTCCATTAACGGCTGGTTTAGCGGCAGTGGTCGCAGTCCTCGCTGTAATAGTCGTCGCCTTTAGAGTAGTACTCGATTTGATGGGAGACTTTGACGGGCCGGCGGAGGCTGTCGTGCCATTTGTCCGACCGGTTGGAGTCACCTTCAAAGCGGCGGTGGCGGCCGCAGGTCGAGCGGTAGTCGTTCGCGCGGACGCAACTGTGGGTGTGATTCGGGAAACAATAGGCGCTCGAGTCGGCGCCGGTTTAGCCAATGGTTTGCTTTCTGCTGGTTTGGAAGCGGCGGTTAATCGCGATGTTGTGGTCGCAGTTCGCGGCGCAGCAGTGGTTGTTGGACGCGATGCCGGCGCCACTTTCGGTGCAGGTTTGGGAGCGCTTGTTGTTTTAGGAGCGGTGGTCACTGCGGGACGAGTGGTAGTAGTTGTGGTCGCCTTCGGGCGAAGCGGTGCTGCAGTAGTCGTTGGTTTCTTATCGAGCAATGACTTTGCAGGCGCTGTGGATTTGAGTGTTGATGTAGTACTTGGCTTAGAAGGTGAGGGTCTAGTAGTAGTGGTGGTAGCCTTTGCCGGCGCTTTACTCAACAGTGAACTCGAAGATGCCGTCGGTTTGGCTTTCGGATCACTTTTGGTCAATGCTTTCGGCGCTGGTTTAGAAGCGGTCGTCGCTTTCGATGCCAAAGGCTTTGAAGCGGTTTTGATTACTTTATTCACCGCCGAAATCGCGTCCTTAGGCTTAACAACAGGTTTTGTTTCCGTGGAAATCAATGGCGACTGAGTTTCAGTTGGCTTTACTTCGGGCGCCAATTCAACTAATTGTGAATCGTTTGGTACGACATCTAAAACCGGTTCATTCACTTCTGGAGTCAATGCAACGGATTCTTGTGTTATTTCAGGAATTGATTCCTTCGCCTCCAGAGTTGGTTCACAAATAAGAGATTGGGAAACAATATCTTCGGCTAAACTTGCGTTTAATTCAGAATCCATAGGAATAACCTGTGGCTCTATTTCATCATTTTGTATCATTTGTTGCTCGGCTTCAAAAGGACTGGAGTTTATTTCAGGCATGAGTGACATCGGCTCGGGTTCTGTCAAATTGGGGACCACTTCTTGTTGTGTAAATGTCAACATCTGTTCCGGTTCTTCAATCAATTCTGGTTCTGTAAACTGTTCAACAACTTCTGGTTCTATATATTGTGGGATCTCTTCTGATTGGATAAACTGGGAAACAGGCTCTGATTCTGTAAAATGATTTATCACTTCTGATTCGAACACTTGTGGAACAACTTCTGACGGCAATAATACTTCAGATTCTATTTGTTGTTCAGATTCTGGTCTCAAAGACATATCGATGTCAGTACAATTAGTATCCTCTGATTCCAACTTATTCTGTGACATCAATTCATCATTAGTTTCAATTCCTAATCCAAATTGATTTGAATTCAATTCCATGTGTTGTTCTTCAGTCACCTGTTGTTCAAAATGTTGAATAATATTCTGTTCGTAAAATGCATTTTTCGGTTCTTCATTAATTGCCATCTCTTCCAACTCATTGTGTGTCACTCTTTCTGAGAGTAACACTTCGCTAATCAAATCGGGATTCGATGAGACAAAACCATTCATTGGATTCTCATTCAATTCATGCCCTATTTTAGACTCAAAATCATACGGACTTTCATTGAGAGGACTTTCAGAGATTTGTTCAACAATTGGTGAATCCTGTCGTTCTGGAAGTGTAGCAGAAGTTAAAAACTCGTTAAATACATGAGAATCCGTAGCATTAGAGTGAATATCTGCCACCAAATCAATGTCGTTCGCTATCTCTTTGGGTTCGTTGGTCTCAATGGGTTCCGGAATCTGTTGTGAAATGAAATTCATTTGATTCTCAACTATAATATCAGGTTTTGGTTCTTCAAAATTAAATGGTTGTGATGGAGATTCTTCTTGTTCTTCGTTTACATTCAACTGCTGAACCACTTCTTCGGCCTCTTCTGCGCTCATGTGCTCTGAAAGAAGGGCTTCTCTAATCAAATCAGCGTTTGAATCAATAGTCTTTGCGTCCGACAAGAGATCGTCGGTTTTCAAAATATCGCTCTTTTGCTCATCAGATCCTAAATGAAGTTCAGATTCAAATCGTAAAGCGATATCGTTTTGTTGAGAATAATAATCATTTTCCACTCTTTTAGTGATTTCACTCATATCTGAGTTAATCTTCTCGTAGACAATGGAATCGACACTTTCGGCGCCCGAACTCAAGTCATTGTTGTCATAATTAGGTTCATCGCCGCCATCATTGAAACCCTGATCGCAATTGTCATCCAATTTGACGGGAGTTTGAGTGGGAGTTTCCTCCCTTGAATCGCTCAGATGTTGTTCAAAGTCCTTCTCGAAAGCAGTCGTATAACCGCTTTTGTCGAAACTATAACTCATATCGAATTCAGAACCTGCGGTCGCAAAGGAATCCCTCGAGTAGTCGACAAAATCCTTTTGTTCGTTACTTTCGTTGACAATCGGTTCTGAGGTTTGATTCAATGGAATCGAGTCCTGATTGAAGTTAATGGACGACATGTTAGTGTCAATCGCGGCGTCGTCTCCACTATAAGAGAATGATTGGGATGTCTTGATGGGCGTCGAAGCGAACGCCTGTTCTTCGTGGACGTCGGCGTGTGTGACAAATGAGGACGAAATGTCTGACAACTTTGAGATATTGATCTGCGAATCGCTGTGGAGTTCGTTACTATTGGCGTTACTAACGGTTTGTGACTCTTGTTTGTCGTCCGTCTGTTCCCTTGTAAACGACTCGTTGTTGTTATCTATTGTGTCGATTAAGTCGTTATCCACTTTGTTTTGGTTGGCATTCAGATCCACATAATGGGAGGCATTGAACGGATTGGAGTCGTCTCTCAACTCGTTTTCCATATTCTTCTCCTTTACGTCAATGGAGTCTTCACTCATAGAGAAGTTAATTCTCGCTCTATTCATGTCATTGGCTGACGAATCGGAGCTCCAACTCAACGGTCCGCAGGAACTCAACTCAAACGGATTGTTGCCATTCTTCAGCATTTGCTCGAATTGCGAGTCATTGTATTGGAAGTGATTGCCATTCAGACCATTCGTTTCGGACTTTTCTCGGGGAGACATTGGCTTGAATGGTGTGGCTCTCAATTGATCGATATCTTTGAAGAATATTACAATCGTTGTAATGTTATCACTAGAACCGTCATCTTTGGCCACTTTCGACAAGTGTGAGGCCACGCCTTCGGCAATCTGTTGGGTGTCGTAATCTTCGTGTTGACAGACGTACTCATAGACCAATGAAGTCGCGTCTTCGGCCGACAACTGATCCCAGAGTCCATCGCAGGCAAGGATTAGGAAGTCTGTGTCGGGACTGATATCAAATCCAACGACATCTGGTTCTGAACTAATGAAGGGCTTGTGTTCGGGGTCTCCAATGGCTCGCGAAACGGCTAGAGTTCCGTTCACTCTCCACGTGTCCACAAATGCCACAAAACCGCCCAATTCTTCGATTCTCTTGCGTTCCTCTTCGAGCTCTGGTTTGTGTGGAATCATTACATCAATTGGTTGGCCATTCCTGACGACCACCGCCTGTGAGTCGCCCAACCATGCGATGTATAGCTTTGTCTTGTTCTCCAACAACGCGCACAACGCAGTGGAACCGCTCTTTCGGTTCTCGCGGGCAGACCTCTGCAAATAGTCGAGATCTGTTATAGAAAAGGCTTCTTTGAAAGCACCAGTAATGTCGCCGTCGAGGAAGGCTTGAGTCTTGACTAATGTGTGGTGCAAATGGGCCGACAGATAATTGGCCGCATCCACACCCGCGTGACCATCAAATATAGCGTAATAGCTGTAGTCCTTTGAAACCTATACACATAAATAATGGCAACATTTAAAAACATGTCATGTATTTGTGCATTAGATTTAAGATTAGTTCATAATTTGCATTCAGTGCAAGAATTTGAAATATTTAATTCTTAATTGCAATTCTAGTTCTAACACTAGACGACAAGTAATAAAACTGTTTTCAAACTACTTTTTACATGTTTTCCAAAAAAGAGTCAAATAATGTGATTTAGCAATAAATCTTAACAAATAAATAAAATGAATACATTATGAGTTGCAAACATTTAAACCAAATACAGTACTCGTTAATGAATAGAGAATTACCGGTATATTCAATAAACAATTAATCATTTAAATAAGTTTTGAAGAAAAAATCGACAAAAATGAGTTAACATTTGAAAAATATAAGACAAGAATTTCATTATTCTTATAATTAGATTATAAATTTTATGTATAAATATCACAACATTATTACTCACTTCCCGTTATGATTATCTAAGTGTCTAATTATACTCATATCAATCTTACGCCTAATTTGTAATACATGTAAACAAAATAATACTTTGAAAAAACATTCAGATATTTATATATTTCATAAGTATTTTTCGTATAAAAATTAGTGAAAAAAATTTCAACAAAAGATTAATATTTTGATGAATAGAGGATAACAGCATTTAAGCAAACAATTAATTAATTAAAAGCGAGTGAAAAAAGTGCTGCAAATGAATGGAAAGAATAATGTTATGTATGAAAAAGAGTGGGAAAACGTTACAATCGGTTACAACGAGAAGAAAAGATAATTAATTGTTTGTCAAAAATATCTTAACTAATAAAACAAAAAACAAGAGCTCAAGTCATGGAAATAAAATAGTTAATGGATTAGAAATTTTAATTAATCGTAACGTTTTTAGCCGTTTAATTAGCAATACATTCGAGTCAATAAACGAATTGTACATTTCAGACCCGAAATACATTTTGTAAGTCATTAGGAAATAAAATTAACCAAAAATAAAACACATATAGCGATAGTAATAGTAATCGTATAGTAATAATAAACAATCGAAATGAAGAATTAATAGTGAAATGATTGATTTGAATTAAGTGTTGAGGAAATGATACAATTGTGGGAAATGTAAGCAAATGGTAGATATAAAATGGGACTCACTTTCAGATTGAGGGCTTTATTGAGGTCGTGGAGGACGACGTGCCTGTCCTCCATCTTTCGGCGTGTATTCTTGATGGCAAAGATCGACGACACGAATGTTTGGTCCGAATATTCTTTGGCTTTCTCTGCGGCCAACTCTGGGCTCAGTTTCCAAGAGTTGATGTATTCGGTTACGTATTCTTGCGATTGTGAGTACAACTCATTTGAAGAGAGGGCTGGCGATTGGGAATTGCATTCAATTAATAACACAATAAACACACTAAACATATCATTAAATAAAAACTAGTTTTCCATCAAAACTGTATGAGTCATCTCTCAATGTATTTTATTTTCATTGCAATTATTAATAATTAATTGTTTTGCAAGAAATTGCAATAAAATAAGTATTAAGTTAAAGAGACAGCCAATGATAAGCGCAGACCTGGTTTTGAATAGTCGACACAGTCTTCGTCCGAGCCCTGAGATTCGCGACTGGTTTCGGCCAAACCTAGCTTTCGGGACACTATTGAGGCCAAAGCAAAGGCCAACGGATACGGACACTTCCTATTGGGTGAGAATCAACATATTATTACAACACTATTCATTAGGCAATCCATTCAACACACAATTTAACATTAAAATTCGCACAAATCTGTGATCATATAAACTTATTATTTGCACAAATCATTAAATAAATTAATAGATTTTCTTTTTTCTATCGCATAAAATAAATAATAGACGTTAGAAATGAGTTAACAAAAGTTTTGCGTGAATTACTCGTGAATATCAATGATTGGTACAGTATTTGCAATTCCGACACAACTATATATTGATTGAAATATACAAAATGTAAGACTAAATGTATGTTTGAATGTTTTTACAGGCGATTCAAAGTGTGTCTACAAAATGTCTGTGTCTTCGATGCCTAACATTTGTCTTGTATTATATAAATAGCGAAATACTTGAGATAAAAGTGAAACAATTTCTTATGCAATCAACGCATCAATGATTTTCGACGTCAATTGTTAAGCAATTCAATAGTCATTTAAACTCTTTCGCTAACCATTAGACTGTGTTTGGCTTAAAATGGTGTTTAAATATATCGCAAACAATGGCTATATATAAAATATATGCATTTATTTTTATCAAATATCAGATTAAAAATGTGAATATTTGCATAAAATTTGGGACAAAGTCTCTGAGAATTTATAAACGGATAAAACAAGAAAAATAAAAGTAAATACAAAAAACAATTGTGTATACATTGTATGCAAAACTAAAAACTCCTCATATTTGGCGAGTGACTCATAACATGATATTTAAATGCATCGATAGTTTTAAATCTCTTATTATAATATTTTTAATTTTTTTGTTATTCACATGAAAAACTGTTTAAAAAACATTTACAATCAAAACTAATACTAAAACAACAATAAAAAATATAGTTTAATGAATTCCGAAATAAAAATAAAACTAAAATTTCAATTAAATTAATTAAATCGAGAAAAAACAAAATTTTTAATTAAACACTTACTGAAAGTGAAAAATATTTTGTTGAAAAACAATTTGAATCAAATGAGTGACTGTCAGACAAACCCTGTGTTGAGTTAATAACACTAAAATAATAGTTGATAACAAATAAGTTTTAATACCCCCTAAAACACTACTAGACTTCTTAATACACAACTTCGCGACTACACATTCAACACAACACTACGGCTAATGTTATGTAATAGTAATTCAAAAGTAGAAGTTTTTTCTCATAATAATAATTACTTTGGGAGAGAGAAAAGCCTTTTTGCAAAACTTGTTGCAAAGAGTAAAAGAGCTGAATGTAAGCCATAAAATACTTCGTGCGCTTAAAATGAGAAATAATGGCTAAAAATATTGTGTCTATAGCTTTAATACCGCAGAGAAAGTGTGCACCAAAAATACCATCAATTTCTCCTCTCTCTTGCGATCTCTGTGTTATATTACATAACTTACACTTCAATGCAGACATAAAACTCAAACGTCTGTTTATTATCATAAGATTTTATGCAGACATACGGCCAGTAGTGAGCGCCTGGAGTACCAGATGAAGGAGTAGTAGTAGTGATGTTGTATTCAGTTTTGGCTTACAATTCAATGTTACTCTTATGATCCCTTTTGTTGACACAATAGACAGATAACACATAACATTGGCTCCGAACCAATCATTTGGTGATTGACAACGAGAGCCACCAATTCATTACGTTTGGTAAATAAATCAGACAAAAAAATTGTGGCAAAAAACTTTTATAATGTGTTTGAAGGAATTTCGTATAACAAATAACACTACACTCTATACAGAATATTATACACGTATGTTTGGCACAAGAGTTGGTACACCTGTCTCTCTGTTACCTCTTAACACAACACTTTATATACATACCTATACTCTCTCTCTCTCTCTCTCTCTCTCTCTCTCTTTTCCAACTTTTTCTTCCAAATATTGTTTTGTGTTTGACTTAAAAAACTTGAATCTCTGGTTCATCGCTCTGTAATGTATTTCGTAATACACTTTAAATTTGCTGTTATTCTCTATCATTCAGAATATATACAGAGTTTTTCATATATAATACAGTGTTATAATATAATGGATGATAGTTTTTTACTCATTTTGAGAAACATCTATTTAACATCTATTTCTAACAACAATTTTCTGGTCATTCAGTGATGGAAATATAAAGTGCATTTGAGATTACATTAGAAATTGGTTTTTTCTATTTGCTGCTCAATTTTTACATTCAAATGAACTCTTTTTTTTTGAGCAAACTATGCATTTATTCAATGATAAAAAGTTTATAAAAAACAAAAATTATTTATTGAATTTTTTGTTGTATATATTTTGTGCTGAATTTTTGATTCATGTTTTTACAGTTTGGTAGAGGGAGAGAGAGAGAGAGAGAGAGAGAGAGAGAGATCGAGCAGTTCATTGAATTTATTCCGAATTATTTTTGTTTATTTATGATTTGTTTAAGAGAGAGAGAGAATGTGAACACGAATTCTGACATTTTGTGCCACAGATTAGCACTGAATTAATATCAAGAGTGAAGTGCTTTTGTTTCACACACAGAGAAGAAAGGCATCCCTCGTATTGCATATAAAATAGTTTTAATCGCCGACTGTTTATCGTACATGTAATACATAGCACTGTATATATTCAATACAAATATAAAATATACATTGTTTGCACATTTTATAAGCAATTCTTTTCCATTGTATTGCATAACAAAAAGATATTATGATCTCAAAAACGTCTACATATTTCTTACAGGATTCAAATCTATGCGCAAATGTTTGGCCGGTTATCAAAAATCATCAATTATTCACACATTGTGTGTGTATTTCCACTAAAACATAATATTAAAAGCAAGTGAACAATCGATTCCCTGCAGACACTGAATAAAATCATTAAATATTGAATAATGTATGAATAAAAGCCATTTTTGCCGAACACATGTAAATGTCTCGTTTGATTAGTGTTTGACAGCACATCCATATTAATACAAGTTTGACAGAAAACCCTATGTCTGGGGCTATAAATTGTATGAATGGAAACATTAAATACAATAACAATAATTAGAAAATAAAACTTTTCTATCGATTCATAAATACTACAAACAAATGAAACATAAAAGGAGTCACAACTGAATGCAACAAAAAAGAAAGAAAAAGTAATAATAATTTTCATCTCAAATAACTGTCAAACAATCGCTAAATCTTTGTGTCAAACAGTTGTGTATAAATAATACCCGAAACCTAAGACACCATTAGGTTGGAGGTCAGGAGTGGGACGAGATTTCTCATCAGATTTGATACTCAACGACAACATTATGTGAAAATGTATTCAATTCACAAACACATCGACCGCAGAGACACATAAATATTGTTTTATTGTCCGCATCTGTCGTATCCAAACATCGATTGGCAACAAATTTAATGCCTTTGCAATGAAATATATTATGCATTTTGATATTTGCATTTAATTATAATAAAAATGATATAATTTCTCCATTCATTCTCACTCTCTGTGAAACAAATCATAAATAAACAAAAATAATTCGGAATAATTTCAATGAACTGCTCGACAAAAAATGATAAAATAATAAATTAAAAACGTAAAAATTAGATCTTATTTGGAAAATGCATTAATAGTATTATATAAGAGAAAGATTTGCAAATATTTTAATATATCGTTGAATCAATGGCTCAAATACACAAATATTTTGGGATCGAAAGTAAAAAAGGGATATTTAATGTCAAACAATATTAATGTTTAAAAAACTGGTTGAGAGGCAAAAGAGGTGTCTGAAAGAAATATATAAACCGATTGGAAAGTCAGGTCTTCAGCACAACTTGTTATTCAACTGTAATTATTATGTGCAGAGAGAGAGAGAGAGAGAATGAATGAAGAAATTATATCATTTTTATTATAATTAAATGCAAATATTAAAATGCATCACATATTTCATCGCAAAGGCATTAAATTTGTTGCCAATCTTGATTTGTTTAACAGAGAGTGAGAGAGAGAGAGAGAGAGAGAGAGAGAGAGTCGGTGTGCGTACGTAGAGTGAAGTTTGGGCTGTGAAAACGACACGGATTGTCTAATTCGGTGCATACATATCGACAGCACAGGTATGAGAATGGGATGGTATGGCGAATGGCGGTCACCAGCCATTACCATACAGTACAGACCCGATCGCATACTTCCCGTTAATGGTCTACCAGTCAAGCAAACTTCCATCAAAAGAGTGTATGCGCTATAATCAGTGCCTACAGTGCCTTCTCTAATGAACAAACTTTTATTGCGAGTAATAATCGTTACAAGTAATGGATCAGACCATCGATAGGGCGCAGACAAAACACCATTACATGTAGTCTCACATTAATCCTATTCTATAAATACTGTTTCTGCTATTAATTTCATCGATTATTATCTATATATTGTATTCACAACAGTAATCATACGGCTATTTATGACACAATTAATGTCATATATTTTATACAAAACGCTACTTTAAATCCAATTTATCGAAATTAAAAGTCAGATAACGATCGCAATCATTGTAATAACAATCATCTCTTTTTTGTTTACATTTTCTTGTTTTAACATTTGTATCATTTATACGACAAATGAAATACAATTTCAGTTATTTATTAATGAATGCAAAATGACATAAAATTAATCGTCGATTGAATTGCGCGACTCATTAGATTTGAAATAATATTAAATACATACATAAAGTGAACACACATACAATGTATATTCAATATAATGTATGCACACATATAGTGAACAAATATTTATCTCTAAATGAACTCTGGAAAGAGTCGATTGAAAAAATAAAAAACAAAACTCAAACAAAAATTACACTAAATTTTAATAGCATTAAAAAAGGCTGTGATAACAGAGAGCGAGTAAATGCCAGTCGCTATTCAATAGAGAATTCTGGTATTCAACAAATATTTTCGGTGTTTAAAATCAGATTTAAAAAAATACTAACTTTTTATAAAACAAATCACAAATAAATTGTTAATCGCTTTCTAATCGGTTAAACTAATAATAGGAGAGCAAATCAATTGCTGCCAAATTTGATAACCATTTAAACACTGAATACTCGCAACAAAACAAAAAATATATAAAAACATGAAAATAAACTCAAAAATCTTTGGATAATTTTGTTCGGCGTTTCGTATCTAATCTACTTATGGCAGAGTCTGAGAGGATCTTTAAATTTCTCTTAAATTTATATTAAATGCAAAACAACAACAAAAATAAATGCCAAAAACCAACAAATTTTCGATAAGAATAATTTACGATTGATTTTCAATTAATCATTTCATTTAAATAAAATTAATTCATTTTAATAGCAAAACAAAAAATTGCAATTTATTTCGTGAACTTATAATGCAATCAAAGGTTACAATGAAATGCAAATTTTCAAAATACATATCAATATTAATGTGCATTTAAATTGAGTGAAACAACAGTGCCTTTTGGTCTGAATGGCATCCCATATAAGAGATGTGGGAATATTATCGCCCAGTTTTAAAGCAAATAAATGCACGATTGATGCGATGGATAGGTTCAACCCTAACATCAAAACATTTTGGAGACCAGTCTATCATTGAAACACCCATTCCTACAAATATTCTTATCGCTTAATAATATCACATTTTTTAGACCATTCAATGCAAGGATAGTCTATCTGTTCATTCAATTCACTCTCGATTTACTCTTAAAATAAGAAATTATGATAATTATCAATGAAAATAAATCGCTTTTCATAATTAAAATAATAAATATTAATTGAATTTACAATTTAATTATAAATTATGATTGAAATACAGAATATTGTTACCAGAAATCCGGTAAAAACAATAAGAATTTCAAATTCAATGTTAAACTAATTAACTTTAATAAACAAATAACTCGTATTTCAATTAATTTTGACTCATATTTTGAAAACCAAAACCTAAAACAACGATAATTTGTAATTAAAATACACAAAAATTTGTCACATTATATATTCAAACGAGCAATAAATCAAAATAAAACTCTCTTAACACAAGTGATAATCTAATACTGATGTAAACTATCGGTAAAGTATCCCATAAAAGTCTATTGAGAAATATGTAAAAAGTTATAACTGAAAACAATTTGTAAAAAGTCAACACTTTTGAAGAGATAGTAATCATAATAAACTAAATGTGTTAAATCGTAATCAATAATTCACTGTTAAAAACCAATCAATTAAATTCATAATTAAGTAAAACTTTAAAATTAAGAAAAAAGTGAGATATAGAGCGATATAAATATAATTAGATAATTAAACTTCAAATTGTGATAATAGCTATTTTAGATGTTCAGCACTGCTTTTGTCGCAGAAAATTTACAAAATGCAAAATTGTAGCCAAAATTTATGCTAACATTACATCTAATGATACACTTCATGAATAATTTTATAAGAATCGTAAAAAACACAATTCATATCTAAATTAACATAAAATATATATTAAAATGTTGTTTAAATGAGGATATCTTTCATATTAGTGTTTGGCATACAATGTCTGCATACGAATCGCCTAATTGTAAGTCTTTTCTATAAATCGCTTTTCAATTTATAGATCTGATGTCAGAATCGATTTATTAATAA